GAAGACCGGGAGAAGGGGGCACCAGGCCTTAGTGTCCAGCTAGTCACCCATTGTAAACCCCATCTTAGCACCGGGAATAAAGAACTAGTGCCCACTCCCTCCAGATGATACCAAAAAACGGGTCCACATACGCACAAAAGCTATGTCCTTTGTATATAGTTCAAACATGAGAATTTAGCCTTAGTTTTAAGAAGGTGTTGGTATGACCCCACATGATTTTATACATCTCTATATGTGTGAGCATAAATAATAAATGGATCTCCATACGCGACATTATACATGCCAATATAAGCAATTGGATTTAAAATGGGTCTTGAAGTATTATTTTAACTCTCGTAGGTTTCTGACGGCCCTAGAATCAAATTAGTCAGCGGCTCTGATTGCCACGGGGAAAGATAATTTCAGGAATGATAAGAATTGCAATATCAGTTAGTCCCGGCTTGTTAATGAAACTTCAAAGTTGAAACCAAAGTAGGAGTGCACAGATCGCTCCAGAGGAAAAGTCCCAGGGTTCTACGAATCTTCTCTCTGTCTTTAATGAATGCTTAACCTCCCTGCACTTGAACTCGGGCATCATGGCCAGTAGTCAATTTCATTCTACTTCACGTATTTTTTTTCCCCCTTTTAATCCTGAAAATCTGTAGCCATGTCATCAGCTCCTTCTTAATTATACCATATTCTTTACATCTGTCCTGCTAAATAACTCTAATTGAAATAGCACCGGCGTGAATTTTTGTAATGTTCCCCCCAAGACATCCCGAAAGTGACTCACGAGAAAACAGACTGAAGTCACAGCTGGAAGCGCGTCAAGGATCATTTCCATTTTTACATGATTAATTTGAATTTAATATCTTAAATCAAAACCTGATTAATTTAAATAAAATTTTGATGGTGCCCTGCTTCTAATATACATTGCAGTAATTAGATTCGGCTTAATGTGATTTTTTTTTTACATAATTAAAAAAAAGGGGGAAGTCAAGTGTAACAATGCAATGTTGATACAGATCTGTCTAAATGTATGGAGGGGACCTCAGTTTGGGACATCAGCAGGTGAAACGTTGAGGCAATGAAGGGGACTCAAGCGAGCCGGGGACGCAGGTGACTGTTCCGTGTTCATCCCCTAAGTGCAGCAAGATGGCTTGTTCCAGCGGTAAAAGAAGAGAAAGCTTTCATTCTAAACGAGGATGCACCCAGGATGGAATGGACAGGACACTATCTCATAGATGCCAACACCCCCTCTCCTCTGGGGACATTGGGCGACGGCCTCTGCTGTGGTTAGATGGGGTTCAAGTGTGTCTCCGAAGGGGTCCTGTGCTGCAGACTTGGACCCAGGCTGGCACCTTGGGAGGTGGTGGATCTTGAAGAGGAGGAGGCTCCTGAAATGTGTATAGGTCACAATGTGCCACCCTTGGAAGGGATGTCGGCGTGGAGTGGGCTAGTTCCTGCAAGAAAGGGTTGTGATAAGGAGAGTTTGGCTTCTTGGCTGTCTCTCCTGCTTCCTGTCTTGCCGTGTGATCTTCTGTATGTCCTCCCATCCTTGTGACACCACCAGCCATAGGGCTCTCACCAGAGCCCAGAAAATGCTGACACCGTGCTCCTGAATCTCCAGAGCTGTGAGATAAATAAGCCTTTTGCTTTAAAAAGTTCCCAGCCTCTGGTATTTTGTCATAGCAACATCAAATACACCAGGAGAGCTTCCAATGTGCATGTGCCCAAGACAGAGCAGGGACCAGTGTTATGATCAATGAGGATGCGGGTCCCACACAAGGGCAACATGCTCTTTGCAGCCCCTTTGGAAATTTGGTGCCTGGGTCATCATCCTGGAGGACTCCACTTTGCATGACCTCCCCTTCTTGAGAAGAGGAAATGAGTCTGGAGAGCGTGGAAGCTTTTCCCTCAAGACCTCTGTTCACCCCGATTCTAATGGGCCTCGCTGCTGTCAGTCATCCTGGAAACGATGCGCACATGATGACCTCCCTGCTTCGTCACCACCAGGAAGCAACCTGATCCAAGCTGGGCCACATCAGGGTGCCAGAAGGTCAGTTTTCCAAACCTGGTCTTTGCCCAAACCTGCCCAGAGACACTGGGGACGTCACTGTCCTCGGGTCAGCGTGTCACCAGCTGTGGAAGGGCTCGGGCCTGACAAGCCCCTGCCACAGGATCCGAGCCTTGGAGCCCAAGGCCGAGTGGCCGAGTGGCCGGCCTTGCCCTGGAGCTTCTCTGGTGTGAGAGAGCTTCCATGGCCGAAGCCCACGACAGTTTCACAGGAGCTTCAGGCTGATTCCTCGCGAGGCTGGGCTGTCCCTCGTGGGCCAGGTGTGATGGACTCCAGTGAAACCTGGAACCAGCCACGGGAAGGGGGCACAGGGCTTGTGGGCAGGGCTGCACGTACGTGGAGGAGGAGCTGGCATCCCCACGGCTCGCTCCACGTGGAAGCATCCGACCTTCTGTGCCCATGTCTTCCCCTTCAACTTCCTGTCCTCCAGGTCCTCTGGGTCCTCTGAGCACGCCACACACCATGGTGGCTGTGTGAACTGGCGATACGTTAGTTAGCTGACCGTGGTGATCACTGTACAATGCAGACGTAGATCCAATCATCAACCTGCACCTTGAATATACACAGTGAAGTGAAGAGAGCGCAATGTGTATTGTTTCTCTTTGTTATTTATTAGATTTTAGTTCAGGACACTTTGAAATATGCCTTTGGAAAAGAAGTTGGATAACACTGTATATGTATTATGCAGAATAGAGTTTGCTTGACTCATCTACAAAGATTGATTATGTCTCCCCCTCTTCTCTCCTCCCTTCCCTCTGCTCATTCTGTATTTCTTCCTGTAACACAGTTCCATAAGTGACCTACGCTGAAGTTCACCCTAGCACCCCCTTCGCCCTAGCACCTTGGAGAAGAGAGAAATTGTCACTCTGTGCCTGTGTCCTTGTGTCCGAGGATTTGAGGACAGGGGCAGGGAGGGGCATGGCATGCTGAGATTCCTCAAAACCTCCTGCCAAACTTTAAGCGGCCAAGGTTGGAATTTACTTCCGCGACAGTCATCAACGCGTTCCTCAGAGGGGTTGATTCTGTCTCCCGCTGTTTCACCAGGATCGCGAGGTCTGGGGATCATTTACACTGCACTCTGCCTTGTGCCATGGAATGGACTGAAGCTTCCACCTTAGTGCACGTAAGGGAGACCACTTAAGTCACCAACTTTGAGCCAAAGTGAACAGAACACACTTGAAGTTCACTTCCAGACCTCCTGTGGCTTCCCTACACATTCCGCACTGTGGAGTCACATTGCTGTTCGCACGACGACTGAGGATCATTGCACTAACGATGCTTCCACGTGTAGGTGCCTCTGTGCATGTAGCCCGCGGAACTGAGAATCTCCACCATCTATCCAGATGCTCTGACTCCCCTGCCTCAGAGGCATTTTTCAACCTTCCCATGGACTTGAAAATCGGGGCTCATAGACAGCCATTTGACTCATCAAGGTTTTGCAATGGGGAGAAAAATAACAACTAGGGTCCCCACCCGAGTTGGATCACAGTTCAAACTTGGCTTTATCACCCTTCTTGTGTGGTTGGGCCTCACCCCCTCTGTCAATCCAGGTGTGCAGGTAATTGGCCGTCCCCTTGCCTGGGACCAGGCTGTCTGGAGCCCCCTGCAAATCAGCAGGGGCACATTGGAAAAGGTGGTGGTGCCAACCATCAGCTCGGGCCTGCCTAGCAGAGAGGCCTTCTGACGCTTCCCATTGACAGAGGGAAAGAGCTCACCAAAGGGTTTCACGGAAGTCGCTGATTTATAATTCATCACCAAGGGTCTCCAACGTGATGACTTTCTAATCTGACAACCAGGACTTCTGATGACTATCAACAATTTAATTTCTTTCTAAATTTAGATTTTTCGCTTCTCGGCATCAAACACCAAAGCCAGCTAAAAAGAGCGAGCCGTGAATGTGAGAGGGAGAGTCTTACCTCTGCAGTGTTTTCTCTTTCTTTTCTTAATGTCAAAGTTAAAGTCAAAACAAAATTAATCATGAGGGGCTATCTATGATGACTCCCCATTCAACTCAGGAGGAAGGGGTGGGGGCAGACATATCTTTGCCAACAGCCAAAGGAATGCCCTTTCAAAGAGCGTCCTTAGACTAGAGGCTCTGGAGACAGGTTGGAGATCTTCCGTATTTAGCAGGTGGATCAAAACTCCCTGGCTCTGGTCTAACTTTCTCTCTTATTAGAAGCAGCAGGGGTTGGGGATTGTATGGGCCATGATTTAAATGGTTAATTGAAAGGAAGCTATGGTGAGCTGTGTCTAGCTACAATATTACCGAGACAATCTTATCTGAGCTTACAGAGCAAGTTCCAATTTGTAACTGCTGTATGCATTTCTAGCAGATAAAACTCTTAAGAATCCCAGACCTGAGTAAAGCTACCTTGCCGTTCTGGACTCTCTCACCCTGCCCCTTCTGCTACTTGTTCTGTTCACCCTCCTCTTTCCTGTCTCTGCTAGGAAGTAGTGTCACGACCCAAAGTCTCAACCTTAGGCAAACGGATTTAGTCATAAAGTGGTGGGATGAAGTGAGACTTGCTACTAAGCCGTACTGAACAGAGGAGAAAACCGAGGGTCACAGAGGTCCAGTGACTCATCAAGGTTTTGCAATGGGGAGAAAAATAACATTGTTGGGACCAGAATCTGGGCTTTGTCCTCATAAGCCCCGCATCCTTTGGGTGGCATGGAGAAACGGCAGAAGGATTGCCTTCCTTTAATATGAGGGGATATATATCTAATCTTTGAAAACCAAAGCCATCTGTCTCATAGTTTAATGGCAAAATTAATATATCTTCATTTTTACAGGAAATCCTTGCCCAGGAAGAAAAAAAAAAGTTGTAAATATCTATTTCTTCCAGGAACTTCCTGGGAAACCCATGTAAAGTACCCCCAAGCTATTCTAATCTTCAGTAGATAGCAGGAAGCACTCAGTTTACTACCCAAGACACTGTGGACACCCTCCCCCCCAGCACCCTCACCAGCGACACCCACCAGTCTTAAACTGTGACAGCTGGGCCTCTCCCACCCCCTGCCGAGGGACCACACTGAAGTTGGACTGCAGAATTTCGGGGATCCTGCCTCACTAAGACCCTGCTGAGGCAGCGCAGTCCGACCGTGAGGGTGCACTGCCTGGGGGCTGTCAGCAGGTGGGTTTGGGGAGCCACGGGGGGGGGGGGGGCGAGGCCGGGCCTCTGAGTGCGGCTGGAAGGTCAGGTTGATGAGGCAGGGGAGTAACCGCTGATAAAACAGGGGGTAGAGAGTTCCATCCCAGGACATCTGCCCTGAGTCCCCTGTCACTGGGCAGATGGAAAGACTTGGCCTTGGCCCTCCTGGGCCTCACCGTTCAGTTAGTGATTGGGGCCCCTCCACACATGCCACGTGTCCCTGGCCACATGGGTTTGGTGAAGAGCAGGATGGCCAACCCCGAGGACAGAGGCTCAGTCCTCCTGCCTGTGTTGGAGAGACCCTGTCCAGGTGACCCGACTGACCACGAGCATCCGGGGACAGCCGTCCAGGGAGTGCGTGCCCCTGAGGGGCGGTTGGCACCGCCATGTCCTGACTGTTTGGCTTTGGGCAAGAGCGTGCTCCTCGTCACTGTCAACCAGGAAGGTCGTAAGGGTACCCAGTGTGGAGGAGGGAGCGCCCGCACAGGGAGCCCCAGGAACGGCAGGGGATGACTGCTCGAGAAGCTTCCCTGAGGTCCTAGCTGCCTTCTGATGAAGGAGCAAAGGCAGGGGTCCCCTCCCTCCCATTGGACACTCGGTGTACATCGAAAAGCAAGAATGTCCCTTCTGCTCCTACCTGCTGGGAGGGGGTGGTCCCTCCTGTCCCCACTCTCTGCACCTGTCTCCATGACATAAGGTGACGAGGTGACCTCCAGGGGACTCTGCCGTCTCTCAGCAACACCCCAAGCCCCCTCACCTCCGCAGACCATCACCCACCTTGTCTTCCGGAAACATCACCTTTGCCAACGTATCGCTCGCCTGAGATGTTAGGAATATCTCGGGCTTTGTTTCTCTGTTATAATAGATGTAAATTAATGTTTTGCCTCTGTTTGCCACGGTAATCATAGAGGCAAGTGTATACTCCTAACAGCTATCTTATTTTCAATTTGCAAAGCATACTGTGCTTAATCCCACGAGGCAGCCCGTGGCTCCAGATATGAATTTTAAAAGATAATTAGCCCAGTGCAGAAGTTGCTCCCTGTGACTCGGAGCACGCACGGGAGCCTGGTCAGGGGGGTCCTCCAGGGGACCCTGTCGGGTCACAGATCCCCCCGTGGTTTAGGACATTTTTTTCCATCACCACCGCCTTTGTGTGAACCAGATGATTTGTTCATGAAAATGTAAATCGTGTCCATACTAGAAGCTAGAATTTCTTTGGGGCGTTGTTATTTGAGGATTCCCACCCCCACTTCCGACCCTCTTTCTGTTTATAATATTCATGGATGGCAGGTGACTTTTTTTTTTCTATTTCTTTTTAATAATGCTCACTGAAAGAAAGGGCAAGGCTTGCATTGGTTATTTGTATTGTTTAGTGCCCATGGCTTAGTAAGTGACCATTTCTTAGAAAAAGGCTGCAGAAAAAAAAAAATGTTGGTCCAATGAGACGAACGTCCTGCCCGGCTCTAACCATGGTCTCTGCTGGTGGGACTTCACCCCCACAGGAAATCAGTTAGGAAAACAGGCACACAGTGTGACAGGCTGAGGGAGCATGCCCAGCCACCAAGGACTCCTCGAGGTATAAGCCAGCCAACGGGGGTCATCTCCCTCAGTGGTCAGACACTGGCCACTCCCTCAGGGACACTGCCTGGCGGGCTCCGTGGGATCAGAGAAGGCAGGAAGCTAGGCAGCGCAGCAGAGGGGAGCTCTGTGAGCCAAGGAGGGAGAGCAGACTCTTTCCTGCCCAGTGTCTGGGATCCCTTCCTGGAGGAGGTGGGGATTGAAATGGCTTTGACCACACCCATAATGTCTGTTTTAACCAGAAAAGTCACACTTTAACTTTGGAATTTCTATCTGGCTTGTGCCATGTATAATTTAAACAGGTGTCTTATATTTTGATGTCACGACCCTTCCCGTAAATGGAACCCGGGGCATTATCATAGTTCACAAGCAACACCTATGTAGCAGTCCTGCTCATCTGTCACCTCTCTCAATCCCATTAGCTCAGTGGCTTCTGACTGACCCAGGAGGACACCAGGCACAGGGAGGCTCAGGAACATACTAAAGACTCTGTCAGTGGGAGGCAGCCTGGCTTTGGACCTGGGTAGTGCCTGTTCCCAGGCTCTGCGCTAACAGACCACAGGGTCCTTCCTGCCTCCCAGGTAGCACAGGTGGGGAAGGGTCTGTTGAAGGAGCCCCATGGATGGCATCACATGGTGGCCTCTGCTGGGGACTCCACCTCATCACTCACAGCAGTCTGTCCCCAGCATTGGCTGGCCATGGGTACAGAGAACAGAACCCCAATTTGGTCATTTAACTCATATCAGGTTACCAAGAACAAAAATCTTAATGCATTTTAAGGGTAATTTTCTCCTTTGTCATATAAGCTAGGGGACTTCCCTTTCAATGAGAAAAATGTCACGGTATTGAAGTTCACTGAGCCTCATGTTGCAGGGAAATCAGTCATGGGCATATGTAAGTGCTGGCAGGTGTGAGTGTATGGTGTGTGTGTGTGTGTGTTTCACATACATATGTGAGGAAAAAACCAGACTGAGGTTTCAGACAGACTGTGAAAGACCAGAAGGTTCTGACATCTGTTCTGAGATGCCCTGGTCATTGTGGTCCTGAGCTTGCTGGTGGCCTCTGGGCATCACTGAGCTCTATCCTCTGTGGTTGCACAGGGTGCCTGGCCTTCTAGTGGATATAAAAGTGGTTGGTAGAATGATTGTCCAAGGCTTTCTAGAAGGGAGAGGAGAGTTCTGGAGAGCTCGGGAGTGTTCCCCCAGCCCTGGCTAGAAAGACAAGGTCCCCTGGATGAGAACAATGACTCGAAGTTGGTGCCACTCACAATAAAACTGAAGGATTCTTTTAATCAGAACCTCGTTCTCAGATGTTTAAATAGACTTTATTTTTTTTTAATGTCGGGGGAAAACACACATTCAGACTCTCTGAGATACCTACAGTGCTACAGAAAAACCAGATCATAAAACAAAAAGCCAGAATTTTGGTGAAATCCTGTCTCGAGGCTCCAAAATGCAATGTGCCTCCACCTGGCAGATCCGGGAGGAGGCCTTGCTCATCACAGCCGGGGAAGAGAGCGCTTTGCCATCAGGAGCTCACTTCCCATTCCAGCATCCTCTCCCTACCCAGCAGAGGCTTCCAGAATTCTTGATGGACACACCTGCCCACTGACCACCACAATGTAGGTGTGGCCGGAGCCCTGGCTGAGCCGTGGGCCAGGTGGACTCAGGTAGGAGGAGGGAGCCCGAGAGAAACCTCGCTGTTCCTGTTACCTGTAAGAAGCTGAGGACCACGTCTTTGTCTCCCTGCGTTAGACCAAGTCCTTCTTTTATCCTCTTCCTTACAGCAAAAGTGTTTTCTTCCTTCAAAAAGACCCTTTGTTTTCCATCCTGCCTTCAAGTCCAAGGGCAGGAGAGCAACACTCTGTTAGGACAGCCCCCGGGGCACATGCCCCACATCAGCACCCCAGATTCCAGAAGGGCGTTGCCACTGCACTCAGCCCCTGGTGTGTGGGTTGTTGGCTTTTTTGCTTTCTGCCTGCACAGGGGAGAATAAAAGGGGGGCTGCATCTGGTCTTTTCTATCCTTGGGTCTTCAGTGTTTGCGTGGTTTCCCACTCATTAAAGAATAGGTTGGGGCCTGGGGCTGGGGCTCAGTGGTAGAGCACTTGCCTAACTTATGTGAGGTCCTGGGTTCCATTCTCAGACATACAAATAAAATAAAAATAAAAGTCCATCAACCACTAAAATATGAATATATATACACGTGTGTGTGTGTGTGTGTGTGTGTGTATAAATTGAATAACAGCTTGAAAATTTTAAAGCTTCCTCTCAGGACAAAAACAGCACCAACCCCCCAGGTCAGCCTTCTTCCTCTGTGACGTTGCCCAGGGGCCTTTCCATGGGCTCTGAGTATCACTAGAACAGGGGCTTGTTTTCCATGAACGTGGCCCCAGTACCTGGGGGGTGGGTTGTGCATCTATAACTGAGGAACTCAGCCTCACCTTCTGGGAAGCACCAGGGTCATCTCAAAGGAGAGGTCATTTAAAGGCCCCAGATGTGCTTTAATTTGGGGCAGTGTTTCCCAGAGGCCAGTCCTTCACTGGGTGATTATTGATAGGTAGAAAGAAAGAAGGAAGAGAGGAAGGGGGGAGGGAAAGAAGGAGGGAAAGAAAAGAGAAAGAAATAAGGGATCTTAATACACATCAGGAGAGCACGTCTGAGCACAGCAGCTATGCCTGTGAGCTAGCAAAGTTAGCTCGGATCGGAGTGTTGGAGGGTGTGAGTTTTGAATATCATTCTATATTCAAACATAGACAATTCTTAGGGAACTCTTCTTTTGGTGGCTACAACCTCAACACCTATGCTGGGTGCCTGAGAAACAGTAGGTACCTGTCTTGACTGGAAGACCAAGTATCTGGGACACAGCACTCTCCCGTGGCCCAAACCATCAAGGAATTTGCAGGGCAAGTCAGGAGCACTGAGACCTGTGAACAGGAAGTAAGTCCCATCGGCTTTGGGCAGTCTGTGCGTGATGGACAGCTCATGAGGCAAGCCCCTTTAGGACTGGGTTGAAGACGTCCTCCCCATCATTCTCCTGTGTCTGTGAGCACAGGGGCCACACCCTGAGGACTCCTGCTTCTGGTGTCCCTACTGGAGCAAGTCCCCTTTCCCACTGAAGATCTTGGCTGGGGAGGCAGGCTGGGAGAGAGGAGGGTTAGCAACCTGTTTGTGTGCCTGGGCTGAAGGGAAGCAGTGGGTGACGCCCTTCTGGCTTTGGTCTCCTGGGTGCTCGAGGGCATGGCTGTGTCTGGGAGCCTGGAGGTGGCTTAAAGTTGACGTCCACTTCCGGAGTGCAAGGTCCTGGGAGGTGGTAGAGGAAATCCTGCGTGGCTCACGTCCTAGGTGTGTATCTGACTTGCTAGGGGAGTCTGGTCTTTGCAGTCAGGAAGGTCTTTGTCCCCAT